TTTGGGAAATTTTAAATTTAAGTGTATTTTTTGTAAAATTAAAAATACGTGTATGAAAATATCACATTTAGCTAAATTCGTGTAGAAAAATATCATGTTCCCCTTATAATATAATATTTAGTATTTAGGATTAGGGACAAATTAATAATTGTAAAATGATAAAAGTTTTCAAAGAATAAAAAGTTCAACTAATTACCAAATGCTCTAATGAAATGATTAAAGGAATATTGAGGGTGATGGTTTAGTAGGTCATAACATCATTAGTGCAATATATAAACAAGATGCATATAGAGAATAAATGTACGATATAGTGAAAGAATTTATTTTATTATTTATTATATCTCATAAAGATTGTTTTAGTACATATATGATATGTAAAATCCACAAAATTTGAACAAAATTTCATCGAATTTAAATATTCATACTAGGTGGATCACGCTTGCATCTTTGACCAATGGTACACCCTCTTCTGTATGGATTTTCCGGTACATGACAGGATCCTGGATTTTTAGGATTACAACGCGGAATACCACCTCTTCCAAGAGCTGGATTTCCAATGTACGTCGCTCCTTCGACGACATTGTTGCCTCCAAACCCGAATATCATCAACATTGCCATAAACAAAGCAACGACGATTTTTCTTAAATGCGCCATGATCAATTATAAGAAATCTCGAAGTTGGTTTTGTATATGTAGTTAGAACGTTTGGTTTGGGATGAAGATTTTGGATGAATAATTGTTGTTATTTATAAGGATATCATTTGAGTTTGATGTCTATTTTTCAAAAGAATTCTAATCCTTATTTTGGTTTGTCCTTTTTTTAAATGTCTATTTATGATTTTTTACGATTTATTTTTTCTAATTTAGAATGTGTCATTGACATCTACCACAAATATGTTTTTGGTATATGCCCTAATAATTTAACGGTAATAGTTTTTTATTTAAAAATATGGTTATTTAATAAAAACAGTTATTTTTTCTATTCAATATTTATATTTTCTTTTTTTATTTGTCCAACTTTTCTGTATCTATTTATGATTTTTTACGATTTATTTTTTCTAATTTAGAATGTGTCATTGACATCTACCACAAATATGTTTTTGGTATATGCCCTAATAATTTAACGGTAATAGTTTTTTATTTAAAAATATGGTTATTTAATAAAAACAGTTATTTTTTCTATTCAATATTTATATTTTCTTTTTTTATTTGTCCAACTTTTCTGTAGATACTGGAAATTTGTCACCTCACCCCCATTGTTTTCTTCCTCAGTGATGGCACGAAAGAAAAAGTCCAAAGCTTCTAAATCTCCTTCGCTAAAATCAACCCAGACCTCCTCTCCTCTGCCATCGCGGAGCGGTGCCAAGACGCCGATTCCTCTGACAGCTAGCCTACCACCCCTTCTCTAAGCTCTCCTATGGCCTCTCCACCGATTTCCCCCAAATCTCTGGCCGCCGAAGCTCAGCCCTGTTGAGATATACCGGATCTTGAAGAATATTACGAGATATATCATATAATGGAGATATTATCAAATCCGGAAAATATATATTTAGAAATATTTATCATTATGTCTACTTTACTTATTCAATGTAAGACTCTTATCTATTTATATGTTATTTTGGTTATCAATAAAAATATCATTCCGTAAATTTCTACATGGTATCAGAGCCTGGTTGCGATCTGGACTATATGTTTCTTTTTTTTCTTCTAATCTCTTCTTTCTTTTGCGTTTTGGATGTTCATATATCCAAATCGTTCAAAGGAGAGTAAAAATCCAGATTCAAACGATGTGCTATGACAAACAAAAGTCAAAGCTAAAAACTCTAAAGATCAAGCAAGATGCTATGACAAAAAGAGTTAAAGCTAGAACTTTAAAGTCAAGCGAAGTGATTTGAAAATGGTTAATGCTCTCTAAAAGAACAAAATTTGGTGTTTATGAATTTTTCCAGAGACAATGAAAATGTTTGGGCGGTTTATAGTATTATCAATTCAAGATTGATTTTTTCATTCTTTCAAAGTCAATCTTGAGGGGGAATGTTAAAATGGGAAAATGAATATGTAATAGGAGTAAAATAAGATTTGTGATATGATGGAGAATAATAATGGATACAATATCATTATGTCGAATATTGTGTATCTGATTTGTTTCCATTGTATCTATATTTCCTTTTTACTTTGTTTCTTAATTTTCCTATAAATATGTATTTCATTTTCATTGTAATATAACAAGAAGAAGAAGAGATGTAGTATTAAAAGTAATTTCGTTCCTTTCTATTTGTCTTATTTAATTTCCGCATTTTATTTTTCTACATGATATCAGAGTTTCTGGTTCTTTTCTAATTTGTTGTTCTTTTCATAAAAATGATGATGGATAATGAGAGTGAAGATGAAGATGATGATATACCGATCCAGTGGTAATATCATTTCGAGTTTTTTTTATTAAGAATAAGAGAGTCATTTTGTTTTTGTTTTTTGTTTTTTTTTTCCTCTCATAATCCCACATGTTTCTAAAGATTATTCGCATAGCCGTCAATTATCTTATTCTTGCCAAAAAATTTGTTGTCATTAAACGCTTTCGCGTAGTTGTCTTTAAATCTCGGATGAATCAGAGTTATTCCCGAGACTTCTTTCCACACCGCGATTGTCATCCTTTTTTTTGTTATCAACGAACGATTCTTTTGTGCGTGGTGCCAAAGTTGCAGCGCAGTCGTTTGTTTGATTTTTTTAGTTATGTATTTTATTGACACAAGTTCGCAAGGTGATTTGGTTCAAGCGGCGTGCGTTTAATCATCTTTTCAGCAAGTTGGACGTTTCGTGATCTTCCACGCTCCAACTTGAAAGGGGATGTTGAGATATACCGGATCTTGAAGAATATTACGAGATATATCGTATAATGGAGATCTTATCAAATCCGGAAAATATATATTTAGAAATATTTATCATTATGTCTATTTTACTTATTCAATGTAAGAATCTTATCTATTTATATGTTATTTTGGTTATCAATAAAAATATTATTTCGTAAATTTCTACAAGCCCCTCGGCTCTACAGTTAGGGGAAGGCAGAGCCGGCTAATACACCGCCTACTCTCACTAACCATCTCGATTTCCCGCCTCTACCTGTAAATACTGGTCGATCGCCACTTCTAGGTGCTCATACTGGAAGTACCAGAAGCAGCTCGCCGGTTTTACCCTCTCAGGAAGTTAACAACGCTAAATCTCCTGTTAGCTCCTGCAAAGCGGTAACTCCCCGGCAGTCCAGGCACCCAAATTTCCCTGGGCTCAGAGGCTCAGACCAAGCTCAAGAAACCTCTCTCGTCTTACCTCGCCGTCCTCACATATCGCTGCACTGAAAGCTTGTCTCACTCACTTGCTGCTATCCCCTCGGCAGAGGAGATAAAAGCCGAAATCTTTAGTCTTCCGCGTAGCAACGAGCCAGGGCCCGATGGATATCCTGCGGAATCTTTCATTCATTGTTGGGATGTTGTTGGTACTGACCTTCTTTGTTTCAGGAAGGCTCTTGAGGGAATGGAATGCCCAAAACGATAAATGTTGATAAACTAAGCAACTTCCGCCATCGGGCCCGTTGATCGACACTCTGGGAGATGTCGGAACCCACCTGCTTGGTAACAACCGACCATCTTTTGTATAACCGTTTCAGATATATACAATTTACTTTTACAATATATATATATATATATATATATAAAAGGAATAAAGGTATAATACAGTGAAAGATTTTATTTTATTTTTTTATTATATCTAAACCCATAATTATATATTTCGATTCGAATACGACCATGCAACAACGTAACGCCGCTTGTATGATGATAAAAAAAAAAACGTGCAAAACTAGTTTTGTCAAAGAGCGGTGGTGATGGGAGGACGGTGCCGCAACGCTACTGTTTTTGTTGATTTATTGTATCGTTGTGGACCCCACCGTTTTTGTTTCTTTGTTTTGGTTTATTTTCTCTATATAATAAACAGCGCCGTGAAGAAGGGGGAAAACCATCCCGAAGCACACAGAAGAAAAAAAAGGTTTCTTCTATTTTTGTGACTTTTTTTAATTTCTAAATGTTTATTTTCTTATATTACAAGAGAAAATTATCATTACAGTCGTATATATCTTTTTTTATCGTTCACCCATGCATGTGCATAGGTATTTTATTAAATCACGTAAATTTTTTATATTTACTATTTATTTAGTTTTGTCACGATTTAGTTGTTAACAATGATTTATCTACCTCTCATTCTAACCCAATATTTAAGTTCTTTTAATTGAAATTTGGAACATATTGTTGCTTGTAGTGATAATTCGTACAATTATTTTTAAAACTCAAAATGCAAATGTTTTTTTCAATAAAGTCCGAACCCATCATTTTCGGAACGTTTAATAATTGAAGATCCATTATTTATAACAAAGTCGTAATAACCACATATAGTTTTTTTTTTTTTTTTTTTTTGGTATGAACTTCTTATGATTTACAAACTTGCAGAGGCAATATTATGAAAGAGAGATGGAGAAAATAGTGATACGGACCAACCCTTTGGGTAAAGATAGGGATTACAATAGGTATTGGTGGTTCCGACGCAATGGCAGGATATTTGTTGAGAGTCCGGATTCTAAAGAATGGGGCTATTATAGTTCCAAGGAAGAGGGATCGTAAAATGAAACGTTAATGACAGTTTTAATCCCATGATATTTCACACATTTTTTCGTGATTTTTCAAGTTCATTTAATATGGTGTTGGGCAAAGTGATAAAAAGAAAGGGGTAAACTGCACAATGGAAACTTTATGGTATTTTCTGTCATTTTCCATTCCCCTCTTTTACTCGGTCTTTTTTTTTTTTTTTTTTTTTTTTTTGGTATGAATAACCACATATAGTTTCCCACGTGTAATAATAATTTTCTGGAGATTGTTGGCGAAAAACCACAGAAAACTGATTCTTTTAGTAAGATTTAGTTTTTCCACTTTTTGGTTCCGTGTGTTTTTGTGATATCCAAGAAGCCACGCATCACTTTTCTCTTCCCTTTTGCTCAGTTTCTCCGTCTTCTCTGTCGTCTCTCTCTCTCTCTCTCTGTCTCTCTCTCTCTCTCTCTCTCTAGGAGCCTCGACAATGGTGGAGCAGAGGAGGTTCGCTCTGTTTCTAGCGACGCCTGATTCCGAGTTCGTGAAGAAGACGTACGGAGGGTACTACAACGTGTTCCTCTCCACCTTCGCCGACGAAGGAGAGCAATGGGATCTCTTCCGAGTCGTCGACGGCGAATTCCCCGGCGACGACGACCTCCATTGCTACGACGGATTCGTCATCAGTGGAAGCCCTCACGACGCATTCGCCGACTCCGATTGGATCCTCAAGCTCTGCTCCATTTGCCAGAAGCTCGACGACATGAAGAAGAAGGTCCTCGGTATTTGCTTCGGCCACCAGGTTTTGACTCTGATCATCCCGGTTTCCATGTTTGCTTTGCGTGTTTGAAGTTTGGAGATTTAGGGTTTGAATATGAAGTCAAACCCATTTGGAATCAGATCCGACATTTCAGCTCTGACACCGTGTTTTACTTCAAGACAAGGTGGTCTAGTTTGGGATTGCAGTCTCATGATCTTTGATGTGTGGTCGGCTGGTTTGATGTTATTCATCATAGGTATCTCATTTCAGACATCATCTATAGGATGAGAAGGGGGGGTCTGAAACAATGAACACTGTTAAATTTAAGTCGATATCGAATCATAAAGGTTTCGACAGATTGAAAATGGGATTCATCCGAGGATGAATCTCACCTGTTCATCCGAGAAATACGCGTAAAGGAACGATTTTTTTTTTCCTATTGGGGCTGATGGCTCTCTCTGTTTCGGATCAGATAATATGCAGAATAAAGGGAGGGAAAGTGGGTCGATCTCCGGGAGGTTTGGACATGGGACTAAGGAACATAACCATAGCGAAGGAGGCGGTAAAACCGGAAGGATACTTCGGGGAAGAGATCCCGACATCGTTAGCCATAATAAAATGCCATCAAGATCAAGTCTTGGAACTCCCAGAGACAGCCACTGTTCTTGCATCCTCCGATTTCTGCAACATCGAGATGTTCTCTGTCGGAGATCACATTCTCTGCATCCAGGGACATCCTGAGTACAACAAAGATATTCTCTTCGAGATCATCGATCGTGTCCACCTCACCCTGAAGCTGATTCAAGTGCGTTCTTGCCCTCTTTACGCTTTTTTCGCCCTCTCTTCTCTGTTCTGGTGAAATGTATCGTTCTGTTTTCGGTTTTTCGCAGAAAGAATTTGCGGATAAGGCGAAGGGAACGATGGAGAATGCGGAAGCTGACAGGAAGCGATGGGAGACACTCTGCAAGAATTTTCTCAAAGGACGATCGGATCGGGTTTGACTCGTTCCCCATGTTCTGTTCTTCTTGTCCGGAACAAGAAATATTCAGACGTAACGGTTTATGAAAAAACAGAGATTGGAAGTAATCACAAACATCATCCTTTTTACATTACATTTGGGAGCTGTTTTTACCAATATAGTGTATTATAAGTATATAAATCAAGTATTTTGTTTTTCCATTTTACAACGTCCATAACCATAACCAGATCATACCAAAAAAAAAAAAAACAGATGGAAGAAAATACGTATTGGAAACTCAGAAAGTCAAGAATCTTCGGCAGAGAAATCAGGCTCAGGTGGTTTCTGAAGTTTCACCAGTTCTTTAGGAGACTTGGCCGCAGCGATTCGGTTCTTGTGAATGTTCCGAAGAGCGTTTGCCGCAAATTTTGTCGCCAAAAACGTCGCCCCGATACTGTATGAACTCCCGCCTGACCCCCCTCCCCCTCCTCCTCCTTCTTCCTCTTCTTCTTCCTTGCGAAGTTGCTCCATTTTCTTCCTTTTGACGTACCGACGCCAAGCGGCTTGGATGAAGCAAGCAGCCCAAGTCCGCCATTGCTGAGAATAGAACCTGAAAGTGTGTTGAACTTGCCTGCTATGGAGTCTCCTGAACTGGCTCGCCACAAATTTCAGCTCATCCGCTATCAGTGCAAATGCCTCGACTTCGGTCAGGGCCTTCACGGTTCGGGTTGAGGACGGGAGGTTGGCCCCGGATTTTGGGTCGAGCGCCCATGTCAACAGCTCTTCCCCGCAGAAATCTCCTTCTCTCAGCAAGCTTCGGTTGAAGAACCCGCTTCTCCCTCCGTCGGTTGTCACGCTCTCGAGCCGTCCACGTATTATGAAGAGCATTTCGTTAACCGGGTCACCCTCCCGAACCAGGTACGTGCTCTCCGTGAACAGACATGGCTTCAGCCGCTCGCATATCGCGTCAAGCAGCCTCTCGTCCATATTCTCAAACAACGGAACCTTTCGAGGAAAAAGAAATCGAGAAGCACTTCTTCATAACACGAAGTGCTTCACGGGGATGAAACCGTTAATGGAAAAAGACGAGAAAACTTACCCGGCGGACCAAGGCGAGACAGAGATGCCGTTTGATATCTCTTCTGAGATCCTTTGGCAGATTCTGAACGAGATTTTCTTCATCCACTCCTCGGGTCTCCAACCACTTGTATTGATCATACCGTCTGACTCGTTCCCGGAGTTCTGGCGGAAGCATACGGTGATGCATCCACTGTTCCGAGTCGCGTCTTTTAACTCTCATTTCTTCAAGCCGGATCGTTAGAGATTGAAGATAAGTCTGTCATGGTAACGCCCAATTGCCCGTATTAAACTTTTTTCGCTGTTTTTATTCTTGAACAGGAAATATTTAAAGTCGATAGAAACGTAAAAAACAAAGAGATTCTTCTACCTGCATGTTTCCTATTAACAGAGCAAACAGGAGAAGTCCGGCAATGGCAAGTGTTATGGAGAAAATGACCTCTCCCGGGTATGTGCTAGTTTCAAGCCCTTGCCCGAGGGTACTGCAAGAAAAAGCTCGAACCTTTGAGACCTAAACAGACTTATCGTTGGCAAATCAAAGACGATTTTTTTTTTTTCGTATTACCTGAGATTTTGAAGTCCCCACCATAGACAGAAGAAGTACTTAGAGACGAACTTCTTAGATGAGACGATGCCAGATGAAAGTGCTCTCGAGTAGATCCCGAAGTCAAAGGGAGGATCATCAGTTTGGTCAACCGGGCACTCTGCCTCGAGGACAGAATCTTTAATGGCGTTCCAAGCGCCATAACCATCCATGTTCTGGTTCCCGCAAAACAGGAAGTTCCGTGTACAGTTCTGATTATTACGGTGGCAAGCCCTCGTCCAGCAGTCGTTGTTCCGTTCTAAGGCCAGTAGATACCACAAAGCCCCGACAATCTGAAATATAAACGAATTCAACAGAAAAATCTTTTTAGATAACAGATTGCCTCGAAAAAACGAGATGAAAGGGTAATGGGGTACTGACATGACTAGCAAGCATGTAGAGAAGCAAGTAATATGCAGCACCGGCCCAGGCAGTTTCAGCGAAAACACCGGCTGTCCTCTTCAATTCCGAGCTCAGAGGATAAATACGAACAAGACGGGGAATGTACTGAACCAAAACGATATAACGCAATGCCTGCTTTGTCGCCAAAACATTTGCTCCCCTTGAGGTATATAGAAATCTCCATACTATAATCTGTAAAAACAGAAAATCGTCATCGTATTCGTAAGCAAATCATCGGAGTCCATAACGGAAGTTTCTGATTAAACTTCAAGCACAAAACACAGCAGGCAGGCAATGGAGAAAGATTAGACCTGTGGAAGTGGAAACACGGAAAGGAAGTCGATGATGAAATATTGCTGCAAATACCGCTTTGCTATCTGTGCTGGATCAATCACGAGTTCTCCACGCCCGAAAACCCGTGATGAGGGTGCGACATAGGCTGTTCTGAACTGGAGAGCCATACGGAGAAGATAAAATGCATCAATGACTGTCCTTAACGTCGTGGCAATGATTGCCATTTTCCGATCGATTCCGACGCACTTCTCTTTGTCATCCACAAACGGAAGATACAAGAAAAGCGGATCCACAGATACCGCAAGAATGCATGAAGTGACGAACAGCTTGTTGCACAGCAAAAGAAACTTGTCTTGCGGATCGAATATCTTCTTCTCCGATACTTTAAGGTCTTCGGGAAACACTGCCCGTGAAACCCCGAGCCCAATTGATCGCCCGATAGACCAAAGACCTTCGGACCCTTTTCTGATTCCCCTCTTGAAAGATCCCGAGGCCGCTTTGTTGGCCTGAGCGGCTCGTTTGGGTCCATGTAAATTGAATGTGCATTTGTTCAGACCCGCATCAGAAGCTTGCGAGTACCTCGAGTCCATACTGTCCAACCTGTGAAGAATCAATTGAAACTAAACTCCCTTATTCTCAAGCACCCGAAAGAAAAGGAATGACCTTTCCCAATGTCAATAGCTTCATATATCATTAACTCTACTAAAAACTGAGTTGATATTACAGAACACAGCCAACTTTTAGGAGATCGAGTTTCGGGATCTTGTCAGATACAGTCATCGAAAAAAGCCCTTAAAACATATACCTTACAAACTTCTCCCTTTGGCCACTGATTACTTGTGTTTTCACTGCTTTTTGGCCACAGTCGAACATACTTTTCCCTGTGATTCAACTCATGAATCTCACCTGCTTGACCAGAAGACCCACAATCACAATCAAAATAGGAAATCTCCCAGAAGAAGCCCGAGAAATTCTCGACCAAATCCATTCAACTATAACACAAGGGAATACCCAAATCCAGAAATCCAAGTAACCAACGACGCTGAAACGCAAAGCCCACGATTCATATTTCAGAAATGGAATACAATTTCAAGCCTTTTTTTCTCTGAAGAACTGGTAAATCCACCGTCGTTGACTACCGGATTTGAAACGGATAGACACTTTCAAGGGAACACGACTCGATCAAGCAAACCCACAAACGAAAACCGAAACTTTAGCAAACCATTCACATAAACGAGACTATATTCATCCCGAAATCCGCGGAACACAAAGAGTAACTCCAAAATCTCGGAGCCCAGAGAGAAAAGAGGGCCAAATTAGGAACTGCAATCCAGTTCGATACACAGAGAAAGCTACTGAAATCGAAAAGGAGAAGAATAAGATGGAGGAGAAGAAGAACTCACAGTCAAATCTGGCGGAGACGAAGATGACGAATAGAAGACGAATTTGGGAGAGATACTGAAGAAAAAGCAAGTTGTCGTTCGAGAAAATGGTGAGAGAGAGAGGAGAAACCGAACGTGTCCGTGAAATTGACTTTCTATCGGGAAACCCAATTGTTCGTGCTGTCCGGGTCGGGCCCACCCGGTGTCGCTGCCGTCTCTCTCAACCTCACAATATATACGTACATATACTTGTATACTATACATATATCTACCCATCCGTATACAGAAAAATACGATTTTCAAGGAGATTTCAGAGTGAAGTTTAGTCGATGGTTTTTACTAAAAGGTAAAAAAAAGATTTTTTTTTTAAATTCTTTTTGGAGTTATAGTGCAAAGGCCAAAGCCTGAAGATCTATCAAAACACCGAAGAAAAAGGGAACTCATTCGTAGATTCTTCCAAATCCAAAACAGCTTTAAGCTTTCGCCCCATCTTACTTCCGACAATAACATCTGAAACCATGTCTTCTCCAGACGTGTTAAGTGATCCTTCAGCATTTCTTGTTTTCCCCTTCTCAGACTCTGCAATGGCGGTTGATCAGCTCAAGAGATTCAAAGAATCTGCGATCACTTTCATGGCCTCGTTGCAGAGAACATCTGCTTTACTTCCTTGGATAGGTTTGTGAATGATAACTTTAACTGTTCCATGATTCAGAATGCCTTCACACCCAGTAGGCATGATTTCGCCCGTCCCCATCAGAGTTATCGGCACTACAAGAGCTCCAGTTTTCGAAGCTACCGTAAATGCGCCTCTCTGCATATTATTGTTCGAGATAACGATATGGTGGTGAGATATAGACAGGAGAGAGATACAGTTCCATATAGAATGTGCCTGTAGATGAGAATATGGATAGTAGAGTATACCATTACCTTGAAAGGACCTAACTTTCCGTCTTTACTTCGTGTTCCTTCGGGGAAGAAAAAGACCGATGCTCCCTTCTTGACAAGATCAATGCACCGTTTCAGGCAATCCTGAAACAAAAAAAACACAGAAAAAGTCGGACATGGTTAGACGACCTTAAACTGATACGGAAGGAGAGATAGTTGTAGGAATCATGGCAACATTGGCAAGTTGTTTCAAATATCAAAGTGAAATATAAGGTTTGATAGAACTGAAAAAGGTTAAAATTTATCGTTCATTGTCAAATTACACCATGCTTTTTATCGTCTAAAAGCACCTAAAGAGCATAATTGAAGAAAAAAAAGGAATGGGTACGCACCATCTGGCTTCTGGTGTCCATTCGCTTCAAGGGAATGACACCCAACATGAACATGGCCCAGCCGATGATAGGATACAGGAAAATCCCCGTCTTGCTGATGAACTTGAAGCATCTTCCTAGAGTTAGAAGCGTGTATATGTCCAGAAAACTCTGGTGGTTGGAGACATATACGGCAGGAGTGTCGGGTGGTGGCAGATTCTCCAAACCCTCAATCTTGATTTTGTAAAACGGTAAAATACTTATGGTAGCCCAGATTTTAGCTATCAGGTGCTGGAACTTTCTCCTATATCGATCAAAAAGAAGGACAAAAGGATGGCCAATCACCATCAGGACAAAGAGAAAGATGGCTGCAATGGCTGTAACGGTATAAAAGCATATTCCTCTGATTTTTGAGCCGAGTTTAAGCTCTGCACTTTAGAGTCAGTAGACAGAAAGAACTGAGTTTAGAGTGTTACAAAATGAAAGAAACAAATGCTGTAACCTATGAAGGGAGATGAAAAGGGTTAGGCAAAAGTACCTGGTTTTGGGAAAGCAGATTCAGGGGTTGCAGCTCCTGCAAGATCTGATCTCACACCGATATGTCTCAGCCATTGGTTTGATCTCTTTAATTTCATATCATGTATCCTGCCGGGATTCCATTTTCCATTGTGATTACACCATTGTACATCAGTATGTCTCTTCCCACTATGAAAATTTCTTCTTGAAGTAGCTATGTCAAGAGAAAAAAAACATGGGAAAGAAAGGCACGTAGTGACTTAAACGATTTGCCTTTCAGGATGCAACAGAAAACTTGACCGGGAGCATTTAAAAAACCGAAACTTCTAAACTGGAAAAAACAGATTATGTCTTCCACAAGACCGAAACTCAAGCATCGAGTTCGCAACTGAGAAACTATTGCCAGCAAAAGATCGGTCTTAGTTTATATGTAAGAATCATAACATTATACATAAGCACGATTATCAAACAGCACCATTCGAAATATCGTTTCCTTACCATTAACCGACGTGGTTGCTCTCTCCCGGTTGTATGAAAGAGAACACCCTTTATATGGTACAACCTGCAACATTCCCATCATTCGAATACCAAATTGTGATCAAGTTTCCAGAAGTTTATTGAAGCTAATCTAAATCCACCAAATAGAATTGAAAATTTCCAGTTCGTCTTTGATAATGATATGATCGAACTTCCAAGTTCACTTCAAGTTTCTAAACAGAAATATTGGCACATGAACACGCATCAATCAAACCCACAAATATCACAATTTCACAACTCCTCATACGCAGCCCACCAAGTATGCTCTTCGAATTAAAGATTACATATAACCGCAAGAAACCCTTAACCAAATACTGATCAGAGCAGTTAAAAGCTTCTCCTTTTCAGTAATTTTCTCAGCAACCAAACAGATGAAAAGAATTAAATACAAAAAATAATAGGGTCTCGACAAAAATAGACGGCGAAATTACCCGAATCAAAGACGGCCGAGATGAATACTTGGCTTTCCCATAACTTGGAACTGATTAATCAAATTTTTACATTTCCGGCGACGAAAGTTTTTCGCCGGAGGATGATGTTAGAGTCACAAACAAGCTCTGATTATACGCGCACGAAACGACCCGTAGACAAGAATACATACATGGAGGATGTAAAGGGAGGGAGCAAACGGAAGCTACGTCCATGGCGGAATCAAGCAGGGCATCCGCCAGATTTGCCCGGTGATCTCTGTCTTCTTCTGTCAGTCTTATCTCTGGCGTGTAGCGGTAGTGTCGCTGTTTCCAATTTACTCGCACCAACTGCGCACCGTTTTCACGTTGCGTCGTTTGGTAACTCGCCGCGGAGTTTGGTTAAAGACATTTCCTGCCGTTTTGCAAGTCAAACGAATGAACAACCTGGTGTTTCTGGTTTGGTAAGACACTGCATGCCGTTTGTAGGTCAGACGAATGAACAGCCTGGTGTTTTTCTGACCACCCACAGAGGCCCAATCCATTGGGCCTCCGTTTCTTCGTTTTCGATTAACAATGGGCATTTCTGGATTGTCATAAAAGCCCATAACATATTCACATCATTATTATAAGACGTTAAATATATTTTATTTGAATTTGAACCAATTTAATTCCGAAATCAATCCTTGTTAATAAAATTTACTACGTTACATTCGTTGGTATTTTCTATTTCCCCAAAAAGAAAACAGCCGTTAGATAAAATGAAAAAAATTAAATTCGTCCTCATAACGGCCATAATAAAAATATGTGCAAAATGACAACTTAATTAGCACAATTAGTACTGATTACAAGAAATCAGAAAATTAATTACAAGGAACCACAACTTAAAAGTAAATGAAAATGTCATTATATACAATAGATTCGGTTCATTATTCATAACCTTATCAAATTAATTATAGATATCTAGTATATGCAGATGAATATGTACACGTGTATGTATATGTAAGAGTATAATAATTAAGATATTTACACAGATCTTTTATCTCAAGATTGTTATGTTTCCAAGATTAGCTCGTCTTGCCACGGCCACCATTAGAAACATAATGATGTAAATTTATAACATAACAATTATATAGAAAAAAATCTATAATTTCAACTTATATTTGGTCAAATATAAAAAACAACATATATTAAAACCTCTGAATCCCAATTAAAAAAAAAACATTTGCAAATTGAAAAACCAGAAAATAAAACAGAAAATAGCAACAAGACCACAACTCAAAAACTAAAACTAGTAAATTTAAAACGACAAAAGCCTCTCTCTCTCTCCCTCTCTAAACCAAAGCAAGGCCCATCACAACACCAAGACCAGCAGCAGACCAGAACCCACGTCCGACCATCCCCACGGCGGAGCTCTTAGCCGGAGCCGGAGCCGGCGCCGAACCCGGGGAATGAGACGGAGATTTAGCCGGAGAAACAGTACGGTCGCCGGACTTAGGGGGAGGGTGGTTGGGGGAGATAACAACGACCATCATCTTCTCTCCTTTGCCACAGTTCCCGGGAGCTCCACTGATGAAGAAATGAGGACCAGACTCGACAAGTTCCACCTTTGTGTTCCCATCTTTGTGTTCTTTGATCGGTTTCAAAGTGTTGCAACTGTCGAAATCTTCTTTTGTCACCTGTAACACCGAATCTATCTTCTGATCGTATTTCCACACTGTATATTTTCAATTTTGTAAGAAAGTTAGATTCTTTAACGAGGAATTATAAAAAGAAAAAAAAACCCTTTTTTAAGATTCGTACCAAGAACGTCTCCAACTTTGAATCTGTTAGTGGCAGACCAATGGCTGAGAGTGTCGTTGGAAGATTCCGGAACCTTCCACGAGTTTTCCGAACCCCCGACAAGAATCTCTCTGGCCTGAGACACTGTAAACAGGAGGAACACCACCAGCGACAGAATCGAAATCGAAGAAGATTCCATCTTCATCTCAGGAACAGGGAAGATCAGTTTTGCGTTATGTTGTGGTTTTTTTTTCTTTTGGGTTTTCTTGAAGGGCTTGATGGAGAATATATATAGCCGTTTGGGTTAAGGATACTTTAGGTTCGGAGCTAGGTTCGTGAGACCCGAACCGGGCAATGGAAAATCTGATGTTAGAGAATGTAATCTCGCTGATATCAGTTGCAAATCTCATTAGATTACGAGAGTTATAAGGCTTTTATTTTAGTTTCTAACTTTAGATAGAGAGAGAGTTTGCTAATAAGTCCTTATAATTTACTTAAAAAATCATCAGCAGTCCCTGCGCTTTTAATTCCCATTCAAATTGTGATTATCATGTTCCAAAATAAGTGCTACAAAACAAATTCAATTGTTATGATAAATTAATTACCTTAATTAGATTTATATTCGGGTCAACCGCGTTCCTTAGATTTAGGAGTTACACGTATCACATAAAAATATTAAATAATAGCCCAATTTAGCATTTCAGAGATTATGTATATAAAAGCCGAGTCAAAATCAAAACGCACCATTTTTCTCTAATACAATGCACTACGAATTTTTTTCGGTTACAAAGACAAATTAGAATTGAAGCCACCTTTTTATTACAGGAGTTTAATACTCGAACGTAACTAGTAAATCAGTAATTCTCCGATTTTTTACTACATTCATTAAAAAGATATATCGGATAAATGTTATTTTTTTTAGAAACTTCTGCAATATTTAAATTTCTAAATTATTAAACAAATTTCTTATTTTGATCATTTTGTATGTAAAATCAGTGATATAGATGATGTACATACCAAAGATATCAAATTGGTATCAAGTGGACTAAATTACATTAGTATTTATTTGCCGGTTCAAAAATTGAAATATTTATGCAATATATTTATGTATTTAGAAAACGACGCAATTCAGAGAAACGTAGAAGAAGACAAGATAAATTGCAGTGTGATGAAATCACCGTATGAATTCAGAAAAAAAGCAAGCAAGCGACCAACCAAGAAACATGGGAACTTATTACGACTCCAACAAGGTTTGTTGTTTTAGGACATCATCACAGCCAAAGAGAAGCTAAGCTGTCTTCACACAGTAACAAAAAAAAAAACCAACAATGAAGAACGCAAGTGCATATGATGGAGAAAACATAGAGAATGCATTAGATGATTGATGGTGATGGTGATGGTGATGGTGATGGTGATGGTGATGGTGATGATGATGATCTCTCTCGATCACTTGAGGAGAGTCTTGACGATGGCTTTGACATGAAGCTTCTTAAGGTCGGTGTAGGACTGACCACAGCCCACGAACATGACCGGTGCCCCTGACACGTACACCATCGACAATGCCGCTCCAACCTATCCATCCATTGATTTCCAAGCTCATTAAACTTCTTATATGCTACAATATCATATAACTCTTTCAGATGCTTTGTTTCGTCTTCTTACCTTGTCGTCGATGGTGTCAAACTTTGTCAAAAGGATTCCATCTATCAACCTCGGGTTCGGAGAAGAAGAGAGGTCCGACAGTTTCTGAAACAGGTGATTTCTCGTCAGGTAAAGATTCATCTTCAAGAATCTAATGAGAGGACAAAACAAGATAAGAAACCAAACCTGACTGAACTTGGACAGCTGGTCCACTGCATCATTACCGACCAGAGCCTCTCCCACGAACAAGACAAGATCTGGGTTGTTGAGGTTGATGAGCTTCGATAAAGCCCTCATCAACGGTTCATTGTCCTGTTAAAAAAACATTACGACGAGTTCAGATTGTGAGAAATGAATGGAACCCAGAACTTCGAAGATCCAAAACCCGAAAGTAAGTACAATACCTGCATTCGTCCAGCCGTGTCGACAAGAACGACATCCGTTCCATTGCGAGTAGCCTCTTGGATGGCTTCTTTAGCAACCACTGCTGGATCCTTTTCATAACCCTTCTCAAAAATTGGTATCTGCCCAAAAGTTCCACACAGTTGAGGTGAATTTTGCATTCAGTATTAGTCATATGATTGTATAGCACATAGGGAAATTAAGTATGTGATGTATCTATGATACCTGCAACCTACGTGCATGAGTTCGCAACTGCTCAACGGCACCGGAACGGAATGTGTCACAAGCAGCCATCATAACGCTGACCTTGTGCTGCAAAAGCCAGTATGCAACCTGCACAATGGAACATAGTATTAGCCCTTTCATATATATATATATATATATATGGATGTAACAAAACACAGAAAAGGTATCACAAAACAGGAGGGATTGAAAACCTTGGCTAGATTGGTGGATTTCCCGACTCCATTAACACCCACAAACACAACGACATATGGCTTCTTTTGTTCCTTGGCAGCATGCACATCTCTCAATATATCAATGGAGCGTTTCGGTGTCAAGATACGAACCAAAGCTTCCTCCATCGCTGTCTGAAGTTCACGATCGATTGTTTCAGTTTATGCATTCACCGAATATGAATCATTTATGCGCTTGATCCATTGAATTATGCTTAATCAATTGAATTATGATGAAAGTAGGATCAGCTTTGTCAAATTATTCTAAGATTGAGATGTTGAAAGTAGGATCAGCTTTGTTAAATTATTTTAAGATTGAGCAAGGACCTGAACGGTTGAAGAGATCCTCGTGAATGAGGCCAACTTCTTGCCTTCAAGACTTGCTGCCACTGATTCACAAAGCTTCTCGGCTATCTCCTCAGCCTGCGAATAAAATCTCACGTGAGACGAGTACATAACCATTGCCATGAGCGCATAGATAAAACATAACGATAACGCAACGGGCAGAATAAAAACATACCACATTCTTGGTCATGAGCCGATCCTTCAGAGCTTTCAGTGCCGGTTCAAGATCCATCCTTTCTAGATTCGCCTTCCCGGTAATGCTGAACAAGACCAAAAGGGTCCATAAGGTCGAAGGACAGAACAGAAGATCTACTGAGCTAAGAAACAGAAAGGAAAAAAGAAATAACTACCTCTGGAACACAGAAGAAAACCAGCCCTTTTTCTTAGCTTCTTTCTTCTCATCTCTCTCACCTTCAGCATCATCATCCTCAACTTCACTATCGCTGCTAACTATCTCTTCCTTATCCATCATACTTTCTCCTTGGTCTGCTGCAACTATATCTACATGATCATGTCCATTTTCTTCGATAGGATCAGTAAAATCCAACTTCTCTTGTGGAGCCGAATCATCCCAAACCCTATTCTTCTTTGTTGCTTTTTTCTTTGGCTGGGCGACTGCCTTGGGAGCCTTATTAGTAACAGTATCGGCTTTCTTTCCTCCTTTGCTTCTTATTTTCTGTAGTTTACTTACATCAAAAGCTCCGATATTGGAGCTTGTATTTTCTTTTCCGTTAGTCGAGTCCTTTTTCCTAGAATCTTCTACGGTATGAACACCATTGGAGTGGCCATTCGCCAAGTTAGCATTTTTGGCTTTATCATCATCATCTTCATCATCTTTTTTTGAACCAACTCCACTCGTTTTTCTGTTCCCTCCTTCAAGTCCAGCTTTCGGAATCTGCCCTTGATTCTTCGTATTGCTAATAGGCTTTCCAACCTGCTTAGTTTTCCTCAGTTCCTCGGCCCGAGCCTCGGCCTCCTTCCTAAGCTGCCTAAATGTCTCATCGAAATCATCATAAGATGTCCTTTTCGGGTCGTAAATCTCGACGAAGCTTTGCTTCAACATGGAAAGCAATTCATCCACATAGAGAAGGTGGAGAATCCGCTGATAAACAGCGACGAAAACAAGCCCGAGCTCATTCTGGAACGTCCACTTGAGAGTGTATGCAGCTCCCGGAGCATCGTAGTTGTAGGAAACAGCCCCAGAACGTTCCTCCAGGAGACAGGATCGGATCAAAGTGTCAATCGGTGACCCCTTCAGAGCATTACCAATCTCTTTGCATGTCCAAAGGATCAATCCTCCTCTGGTAAAGATCAATAGCTGTTCTAACATCTCCGCTCTTCAATTCGTACCCTGGGGATTTCAAAATTTAAAATCAAGATCACAACAACAACCCTATAACGCAAAGACTTCAAAATCAACTCTTAGGTTGCAGACCAAGTATACAACATCAAATTGAAAATCCCCCAAATTATAGATCTTAACGATTAACCCCAAAAAGATCTTTTCATACACATACGAATAGAATTAGGGGTTCCCGATAAGCAAACATAAAAACGATAGGAAATTGCAAACAAATGATCTATACGAGAGAGAAAAAGAGAGAGCACAGATTCAAGATCACCGGTCCAAATCAGGATCAAAATCAAACGAACCCTAATTCGGAACCCAAGATCCGCAATCAGGAACCCCCAAGAAGACAACCCCAAGGGTTTCACGAAAAGAAATTGAAGGGACAAAAACATGAAACGTATAAATTCGAGGACAGAATCCAGACCTTGATTCCTGTCTTCCCTTGATACGACGAACAACCGGAAGGGAAAAAAAAACTTTTTTTGACAATGAGGGGAAAGAGAAAAAGCGGATAAAAAAAGGGTCAAAATTGAAATCCTTTACGGTTTCTCCTCCCGTATGCTATAAATTTATTTCCTTCTAAGCACGGGAAAAGAAATCCAAAATATAGGCAACTTCGAGGAAGAGAGGGTAATTTTGGTATTTCATTCCCAATTCGGAAATCGGACAACTTGGGACATCGAGTAAGAACGCCGTTGACCAACACGTGACGATATCTTTTTAACGCGGCGAGAGACAAAACGCAGCGTTTTCATAGATTCTGTGGGCTTTTTTGACATTTCAAAACAAAGCCCATGGGCCTAGTTGAGATTCTGGTTTTTATTGTCTCGAAAATTAAAAACTTAACTGATGGTATGTTTCAGAAAAATAAGGAGGCTCCTTTACCCTAGTCTATTGGGCTCTCTAAAAATTGAGCTTGTTGGGCTTCATGTATGGGCCGGGCTACTTGTAGACATTGACACAGGCAGTACAACAGAATGGGATTATATAGTAATTTGTTCAAAAAATCTCTCTCTCCCCTCTCTCTCTCTCTCTCTCTCTCTCTCTCTCTGAAAAATGCCGAGCAAGTGCGAAATCTTCTGCGAGATCTTGATTGCGATCCTTCTTCCTCCTCTTGGAGTCTGCCTTCGCCATGGATGCTGCACTGTATGGTCCTAATTTTCCCTCTCCCTCTCTAATTTATCAGCTGAGATCTCTAATTTTCTGTCGGGCTAGCGGTTACCGAGAACATTTTGATTTAGAAAATGGAGTCGCGGAATTATCTGGATAGGATTGAGATCGATTAGGAGTTTAGGATGCCGTGATTCCGGTCAATTCATGTTTGATCGATTAGAAGAAAATTTAGGATCGATTCGTATTGGCGTGAGTTTGACCATGTGTCAGCAGACGCTTGGGAGATGAGATTATCATAGGACTGATTAAAGGATTCGAACTTGTTGCTTGTTCTTTTGTTTACTGCAGGTCGAGTTCGTGATCTGCCTGCTGTTGACATGCTTAGGCTACGTCCCTGGAATCATATACGCACTCTACACCATCGTGTTTGTGGACCGCGACGAGTTCTTCGATGAATACAGGCGCCCCCTCTATTACGCATGATCTCCCCCTTTGTTCTTATCAGCATCCTCCACTTTGATGATGATGCATGATATGTACGATACGATGTGATCTCCATCTATGTAATAACATGGAAATGATGCTTTCATTCCCTTCTCGTGATCATATTCTTCTTGCCCTTTGGGATTGGATTTAATTATTAATCCTCTTTCTATGATTTCTTTCCTTCCTTTTTTTTAAAAAAAAACTCTACAAAGCTTTCGTTTCTTGATTTGGAACAAGGAAAATACGCTTTGCTAATTTTGGGGTTATGCCGTGTCGGTACATTATCTCCATCGAGAAAAGATGGCTTGTTTTTAGCGTGTGACAAACAAAGAAAAAAATCTCATAAAAATAAAAATATCTGAATTCTCAATTTTTAGTTTGATAAATAAATATATCAAATATCGAAATATGTTAAAAATATATATATTCTATCTTTTGAAATCGAAAGTAACTTCCTACAAACCGACAACGTTGTTCAGATTTGAATATAAAATTGTTTTCGAATAAAGAATGTCAATGTTCGTTAAACTTCGTGTAGAATTATCGGTATAGTTAAAAATTGTATATGAATAAAAAAAATTTAAAATTGTTTTCGAATAAAAAATTGTATCTTTTAAAATTGTATTTTTTTACAAGTGTTATATATATATTAACTTGGTGTATTTATTTATTAAATTAAAAATTAATATATATTTTAAACATATTTTATAAAATTTAGATATTTTTATGGGAGTTTTTCTAGAGAAACAAAAAGGGTAAACCAACAATTCTTTTTGAACTCTTCATTTAGGGCCGACGAATATCATATGAATATAACGTTATTATAAGAAAACGTGTCACATCATTTACCTCATATTTTGGGTATCCATTCAGACGACCAAAAACTTAATCAAATGACCCGCTTGATATCAACCTAGAACAGTTGTCAATTTGGACCAAAAGGGATTTTATTTAAAATCTGAATTGTGTAATCGACGAAAATACGTATTTTCTATACTAAGTTCATTTGCACATTATTTTTAAGTTGTATTATTTTAAAAATTCTGATTTTCGGATTTCTAAAACATTAAGTGTGTTTATATTTATTTTGATTTTATATTTGGATATTGCGTTTTACTAAAAAAAACTATTTATCTCCTAAAACAACATTTATTTTTATTTTTAAAATTGTTTTATATTTCATTACTATTTTAAAGAGATGAAATTTTAAAATATAATATCTAATCGAAATAAAATCGGACGGGATATTATTATTATATTATTATGGTGAAATTTGGAAGATAAAAGGGCCGTCTTTTTTGCCGTTGTTATTGTTAGACTCGACGAAGGAACATCTGCTCTGATTTCAGTGAATTGCAATGGAGGTCGACGGCGGAAGAGTAGAGACCGAGTCGGGACTCGGCTCGAACTGGGCCGAGTTAACTCGCGAATGTCTCCTCGACATCCTCTCTCGCCTCACCATGGAGGAGCGGTGGACGGGACCTTTCCTCACCTGCAAAGCTTGGACGACCGCGTGCAAGGACCCGTCCCTCAACACGGTCCTCGATCTCGAGACTCGATTCCGGTCATCGACCGAGTCATCCTCCTGGTGGTCGTCCGAGTTCGAGCGGAAGATCGACTCGGTTCTCCGATCAGTCGTCGATTGGAGCGATGGCGGTCTCACGGTCATCCGGGTCAGACACTGTACGGATCGCTCTCTGTCTTATGCTGCTGAGAGGTACGCTTCGGTGTTGCGATTTCAATATTTTTGTGGCCTGCGTGTTGATTTGTTCAATTTGATCGAAGATCGTGGATGGGCTGACTGATAGAGTAGTTGGGGGAATTTTGATTGGGATTCGGATGCTGAACCATTGGGCGCATGAGATTCTGTAAATGGAAATCAAAGCTGAGATTTTTATGAAATTAGCTAAACAACCCTTTCTCATAAATGATCGATTAGTTTGTGGATGAATTGTCGTGCAAATGATCTCTTAGCTCATCTGCCCTGGATTTTACCTAATTTGCAGATGTCCAAATCTGGAAGTTCTTTGGGTCAAAAGCTGTCCAAAAGTTACAGATGCATCCATGGCAAAGATAGCTTCAAACTGTCCAAAGCTCAAGGAACTCAACGTGAGCTATTGCTATGAAATATCTCACGAGTCTCTGACAATGTTGGGGAGAAATTGCCAGAATCTGGAGATCCTCAAGAGGAACTTGATGAACCGCTTAGATCCATCTCAGCACATGAGGGTCGTCCCTCTCGACTATCTGGACGCGATCCCTCAAGACGGGAACTCCGAAGCCGAAGCAATCGGGAGAAACATGCCCCAGTTGAAGCACCTCGAACTCCAGTTCTCGACGTTGAATGCTAAAGGTCTTGCTTCGGTATGTGAAGGGTGTCGAGATCTGGAACATCTGGATGTGTTCGGGTGCGTGAATTTGACGAGCCGTAATATTTTCGACGGTACTGTGAACATGAAGAGCCTGAAGGTGATCAAGAGGCCGAATTTCTACATCCCTCGGTCGGTATTCAACTTGGGCAGGTATGGTCACTGGAGACTGTACGAAGATCGGTTTCAGACCGACGTTTTCAGAATCTGATCCTCGGATTTTAGGTACCGAGCATATACCATTGATCTGTCTCTGTTTCTGTTCATGTTTCCTTCTCTGTTTAGTACCCTGTTGTTAATAATATGCTTCTGGGAATACTTGAATGTTACTTTCATGTGAATTCTGAATCTTTTCTGTTTGGCTTCAAGATCATTTTCCATATGTTTTGGTTTTGATGTTCTTGATTGTAAATATATTTCTTGATATTGGAAGATCCTTGTGCTCATAGATTGAATTCTTACAAGTTTAATTGCGGAAAGTATGAACCAGAGCTCCAACCATGGCTCCAACCTTCTTTGCGTTTTTGTCTGAATTTTGGCACTGAACCCATTTTCGTTGATTTTTTATTGATACTGAAACGTGTAATACATGAAATTTGGAATTATTTATACTAAAAAAAATTGAGTTAGAAATACAGAAATATACAACTTTAGGATTTTTCTTATGGTTGACGATGTTTAATTTTATTGAACACGGAAATCTCAACAAATTCAAGATAATAATAATAATAAAAAAGAACAAAACTTGAAAAGTTTTCTCAAAGGGTATTGAATTTCGTCTCCAGAAAAGTAGAAAAAAAAAGCTATAAAATGATTTCTGGGTATTCAAAGAAGTCATTAACGACTTTGGTTCCAAAACCACTTCAGAAAAAAAAAACTCTGTTACCTGTTTCCGACAAAAACACCGCCATTACTTCAAGAAGAAGAAGATGATGAACTCAGACGCAGAGATTACGACAAGCCTCCAACTCTGTCGCCTGCGAATCCAACAGAGATTGTCCCAATTCGTTCTCCTTCACATTCCTTAACACTGCCTCGAACACAGCCTTCCTGAAGAAATCATCCTCCATCTTCTTCAGAATCTCCTTCACCAGCTCGAAATCCGTACCTTTGGCTAAGATCAACCTCCCAAGAATTTCTCCAAAGTTGTTTGGAGCTTTTGGCAGATCGATACCGATGTCATCCAACATTGACCCATATAGCAGACAACCAGTTCCCAAGTCTTTGGGAGTCAGGACGTTTTTCGCCAGCAGATGTCCCAGGAGTTTGGTCACTGGTTCAACGCATGGCGGGTTTTTCTCCAGACCGAGTGAGATGGCTTCTTTGGCAAGCTCTGGATGGTAGGACGGAGATTTCAGTTCCTCGACGCATTGCAACGCCTCATCCAAGATACGGACACTGAAAAACTCCTCGAGAAGGGAAATGGTTTTTCTTCTGAGTTCATCTGGACTCAAGCTAGTAGCCGCCACTGGAGCCTGTGGTTGCGGTTTCTCCACGGCTGGAGCTGGAGCTGGAGCTGGAGCTGGAGCTGGAGCTGGAGCTGGAGCTGGAGCTGGAGCTGGAGCTGGAGCTGGAGCTGGAGAACGAGTGGTGGTTGAACCGTTACCCTGTAAAAGGGCACTTGACCTACCACCGTTCATGAGAGAGCTGTTCCCTTGAGGCAGCAGCCTTGAATTCACTGACAGTGACTTGTTAACGAACGGAGACTGAACCCGCCCACCAGGTTGCAGAGTCGGTGGTGGAACTTTGCCTCTAGGCATGGAGCGTGATCTCGGCAACTCCCAGTTGTCGTCATCTGTTCCAGGCATTCCCGGCATCATTCTAGTTCCTGGCATTCCGGGCATCATTCCTCCAGTACCAGGACGGCCAATGAGGTTTCCTGAACCGCCAGTTGCACCAGAGACAGCACCACGATTGTTTCTAATAGTTGCTGTAGAACCTGGACGCAGCCCGAGATTCTTCTCTGCCTCAGAATGGATTTCAGTGATCTTTTTGGCTTTAACCTGCCATTACAGAGCAAGAAAATGTGAGCAAAGATGCAGTTAGTGACCGGGAAGAGAAGATCTGTTAGTGCATTTGCAAGTGAATGTGAAGCATATGCCCTAAAGATCTGAAGTGCTCGCTAAACCTACCTCCTCACGTCTTGGAACCCAGTTGTTAGCTCGCAGATCAATAACATCACGGACCATAAATTTCAGACGTGGGGCTAACTGAGGGTGTGTCGTTAGTTCCTTCAATCGGAGAAAATATCTGTCATTTATACCTCGCGATCTAGGGTTTTCATCGAGTTGCTTCCCAATGGTGTTGAAAAACTGGCAAATAGCCTCTACATTTTCCTCGGCAGGACAAGCTTTACTGTCATGTCCTAAAAGCTCCTGTTACCAAAGAAGTTGTGCATTAGTTGCCATCCATGACAATCAATTTTGACCGTACAAACAAAGTGTAAGTCATATATAACCTGGACAATGTGATGAACTATTTTCTCAGGAACCATCTTCTGCTTCAGAAGTTCTCCTATCAGACGGATATTTCCCAGAGTTCGGAGCTTCACCAGTCTTTCCTTATCCTTACGTTCCAATTCTTGCCCTGGATCAGTCATTTGTCTGACTTCTTCCCTCAATTTGTCAGCACCCTCAAAAGCCTCTTGGCAATTATTTAAAAGGACCCGTTTGAATGTTATTTCTTTCCCATCGGGTTCATCGGGTGGGAATGAAGGGAGCTTGTTGTTGATATCAGAGCACAGAAGAGAATACATCTGGCAAAAAGTGGGTTCAAGCACAGCCTTCTCGAAAATCAGTTGTATCACTTCCTGGATTGAAGAAGAGTAAGACCAAATCAAGCAATGAGGATAACCACAATATTAGTTAGCCAACAAATATGGAACTGGGAAAAACCTTTAGGATATCTGCAGAAGTGATGCCGGACTCGATCAATTGACCTTTAAGGAGGTCGTACTTCTCAGGAGTAAGCTTGTTCAAAATACTGTACATAATAAAAATTGTGTTAGCCTTTAAAAACACATAAAAGAAAGGCCATACAGCAACAACCAAGCTGCAATTCGCAACCCTGAAAAGAAACAAAAAAAAACTGAAAATACCCTTTCACGCTCTTAAGGACCCGGTCTTTTTCCGAAAGACTTCCTCTTCTAGCTGACCATGGCATCTCTGCTTTCACCAATGCAGGAGCAGGTCCACCCTATTTCAGCAAAATATCAAGTTAGCAAGAAAATGGCATGGTGAAAGATCTCACACAGTAAGAGCCTAAGAGGTACACTGAACACCCATTCAGAAAAGCACACTTTTATGCTGCAACATGAAGACCGGAATTTAAAGAAAACGATGTAACTAAGAATTAAACACGCACCCCTTGGTTTGATCCTGCGGTTTTAGCATCTCTAGTTTCGCGGAGGTCTTCCCCAGAGGAAGAAATCTGAGAACGACTACGCCAGTCACGATTATCAGGCTCAGAGTAACGATTCTGAGATTGATTAGCCGGCTGAAAAGTGCAAACAAGAGGATTTAGAACACCTTAACAAAGTCTGGAACAGATAATGTCATCAAGCACACGAAAGGAAAAAAAAACTTCATTTAGCAGAAAATCAAAATGTAAAACCAAGGGAATGGACACATACCTTAGCTTCCGCTCGGCCCCAACTTTGCTCTTCGCCGAAAAGCTCAGCTGCAATTTCCTGTTTGAGTCTCAGAATTTCATCAGAGATTTGCATCACCTGTGAGGGTAAAAGAAGAGGATAAATAGTTTTGTAAAACTGCTGAACACATACAAAAGGAAATCAGTAGAATTTATACGATTTCTCCAAATCACAACAAAAAAAAAAACGTGTCACCTCTCTGAGCTGAAGCAACTGTTCCCGGGTGTAACGCAAACAGTCACCACCCTCAAATCGCAAGTCCCCTCTCTACAAAACAAAACAAAAAAATTAGAGTTCCAGTAACGGGTTTAATGTGCAAGAACTAAAAAAATGGCCATATTCACATGCCCCTAAAGCCCAAAGACAACTGAATATCTGTAGGATCTTTAAGAGCATCTCCAATCTAGTAAAAAGCTCACCTAAAGCCTACACATATCGATCTCTGTCCATATTTACAGCAAGGTCACATTACTTAAGTGCCCCACCAAGAATTAGGACATTGCAAAACGCTCGTTTGTTCTTCTCCTTAACACATCCCATAGAAATCAGAAGAAACGGAAAGAAAGACTCTATACTGCTTGAAATTTCTCGCAAAGGTTCGTATCAATTTTCAATAATCATTTAATTGCATTGTCAATTAAAACTCTTCTGTGGACACGGTCAAATCAAGAGCCGCCAATGCATCAACATATAAATGGGTTCAGAGTCCAGACCAAATCAAGCAAAAGAGAGGCAACCATAGACAATTCCCATCAACCTAATTCAAGTTTCAAACAAGAAGCAGGAAGCATGGTAAGATTATCACCAATGCCCAGAATTCAAGTTTCTTCGATCAACATCTAAAAATCAAAACTTTATCCAAAACCCAACTCAGAACCCTAGAATCGAATCAAATCCGACTCAGAGCCCTAGAATCGAATCAAACCCTCCAATTAAACACCTCGTCTAACTCAAACGTAAGAACCCAACCACAAGAAACCAAGCCAGAGAAAACAACCACAAGAACCAACACATAGAGCTAGACAGAGCGTGCGTTCCTCAGATTCGTAATTCCAACGCTACCTTAAGGGCAAAAGAAGGAGCATCGTCGACGCCGTGGCCATTGGAAGCAGCAACAGAGGACGACGAAGAAGAAGAAGAGAAACCGAGACGAGGGCCGAAGAGCCTGCCTGCGCCTCCGCCGCCGGGTCTCAAGCTTATCATCGGCTTATCACCTTGTTCCATTACTCAGAAATCTTTGAATTCACCGGAAAATTTTCAATCTCCGACAAAGACACGGACTGAATTGGGCAGATGGGAAAATAGATCAGGAATAACGCAATCTCACAGATACAAGAAAACGATTGCGGTGCGAATCTATGTATGTATATATATATGTGTGTGTGTGTTTGTGTTGTATGTGATGAAGAAGATGACGGTGGAGAAGGCAGATTTTTCGTTTGAGAAAAGCAGCAGCTGTCTACCTCTTGTTGCCCTAGTTTTCCTTTTCCCTTTATGTTTCTTTGTTTTTGGTTTTGTAAATTACACTAATACCCTCCGCTATATGCCCTCCACCCCCAAAAAAAATATTTATCTTTTTCCATTTTTTTTCGCTGTTATCTTTTTTATTTTCGTGAAACGGAAAGATTATTCATGGCATTTAATATGGAAATATCCCAATCAAATTCGAAATCTACAATTAAATTTATCTAAATCTGGGAAAAAATAATTTTTTATGTAAACATACAATTAAAACTCAATAAAAGTTTGAATCCAAATCAAATTAAAACCTGAAAAAAATGAATAAATATTTTTTTAAAATTTTAATATAAATAAAAATATTAAAATGGAAACCACTCTTAGAATTTGTAATTACCATCTCTTATTCATTTTAATCTTATTTAGCACTAAGAGTGAATGGTTATTAACCGAAGAATCGGAGCGAATATAATATAAACGTAATCTAATCCAATTCAATATAAAAACTGAATGATTATAATTTTTTTAAACTCAAAAAAATCAAAATCAAACTGAATCGATCCGAATAAACAAAAAATTTCTTTGAAAAAAATAAATTTTTATCAATAAAAACGAAATTTGACACAAACCGAAATTGATAAAAAAACCAAATCTAAATGATTATAATTTTTTGAAATAAACAAATCCAAATATAATCAAATCGAACAAAAATCCGAGATGATGATTCTATTTAGAAGCTGTCAAGAAAACAAGAATTTTTAAAAACCATGTATGATAAAACTACGAAAGATTCTGTATTATACAGAGAATCTTAATCTTTTGACTGAGAATCTGTGTCGTAAATGCACTTTTCACATGCTTTTCCATGGAACAATAATCTAACACACCATATGGGCATATATTACAAAGTTTATGCTTTTGTGTTTATAAACATGTATAATTTTGAAATAGTTATTTCTTCTGTATTAATTTAAACCTATTTATTTTATAATTCGGCTAAATATCAAGGATTAATGCGAACAAAACCGAAATTTCACACTAAAATCGTATAAAATTATGGCATAATTAAAACAGTATTAAATCAGTATCCAGCTGTCGTAAATCCTTGATACCGCTTGTTACCGGCTACCTGATGCTGCCAGTGGTCCCATACCGTGTGTATTTGTATGCTCACCGCCACGTGTCAGTTACTCCCGGGGTCAGACATCCTTTGACTATTTAAAGTACTTTTCACCTTTTGGGCCTTGTTTCTAAATTGGGCCCTGTGAGCTCAATATATAAACGACATCGTTTTACATTAGAACGCCTTTTTTCCGAAAACGACGTTGTTTTGATCTCATCGGGGTTATGGATAAGAGCTCGATAGATGCTGTGGGTGATGGTTTTGACTCTGTTCGTGCCGGAGAGAGTTGAGAGAGAGGCGCCATGGCTGGGATAACCAGCACTGTCGGGTTCAACGCCGTTCTCACCGGAGCCATCGCGAAGAAGGTGTCTCTATCTGCCTTCTGCACCCTGGATTCCAAATTCCTCGGCCTTGGCCTCTGTCAGACCGACCTCTCCATCGCCTCCCCTTCGTCTTCTCCCCGCCGTAGGCTCGCCATCTCTGCCCGTTACGGAGGCGGAGGAGGCGGTGGTTCGAGATTCTACGGAGATTCACGGAGGGGCAGGCAAAGTGATGCCGAGGACGATGAGGCGCTGGATCTCTCGGCTATCAGGTGAGATTTCTCGGCTAAATGGGAAGATTTGAGTTTGAATTTTCAGCTGGGCTTTGTCTGAATTGAAGTGTTTGATGTTTTGTGGAGAGTAGGTCAGCAACTGTCAGGCTTATCGATGAACAGCAGAACGTGGTAAGTGATTTTGGTTTGCTTTTCGGTAGCTTCGAGAAAGTAGCTTTGATTTCATATGGACCAAGTAGTTCCAGTTTTTTTGCAATGTAGATAGTTTCTAAAGATGAAGCAATTAGAAGGGCTGAAGATGCTGAGCTTGATTTGGTATGGCAGAAATATTCTTTTTACAGAACCCAAATAAGTGAATCCAAAGCCTTTTCGATACTCTTTTTTGGATTGCATTCACTTACCCTCTCCCCTTTCGGATTTCAGGTGATTCTATCTCCAGATGCAGATCCTCCTGTTGTCAAAATTATGAATTACAGGTAGGAATCAGAGAATGCATCGAAATGATGGTACGGTTTCGGTTGTTTATATTCACCTACAAAAGATATTGCAGAGTCACATAGAGTGGCATTGATGTATGAATTCCTGAAACAATCGTTTCTGTTTCTTTACGTTCTCAGCAAATACAGATACGAACTGCAGAAGAAGAAGAAGGAGCAGCAGAAGAAAAGTATTGTCTGCTCTTCTCTGTTAAAAATGCTCAGTTGAATAGAGGCCGATGGCACAAGAAAAGATTGTAACTGTGGCTTTTTTTTTTCTCTTTGTGTTTCATGCCAGCCAGTCGCACGGACTTAAAGGAGCTTAAAATGGGGTAAGTCAGCCATTTTATTTGCCTTCCGGTTCCTATTGAGAACTTCCTTTTATACCGATTTTGTGGGTTATTGTTTAGGACTATGTCGAATCATATCTCTGTTTTTTGAGATACTGCAAATATGGTTGAACTGCCTCTGTCTAAAAGGTTACTGCTTCAATTGTTTTTACAGTTATAACATTGACGAGCATGATTACTCCGTACGTCTAAAAGCTGCCCGCAAGTTCTTGCAAGATGGTGACAAGGTTGTTCCCACTTTCTTTCATGTCAGTAGAGAGGCAGATAAATGCCCCCATTCGGCTTCATTTGATTTTGTTTTTGCTTGAAGCATTTGCTTGTAATGATCTCAGGTCAAGGTGATAGTGAACATGAAGGGCAGAGAAAACGATTTCAGAAATATGGCTATCGAGCTCATTAAACGTTTCCAGAATGATGTGGGCGAGGTAGAAGATTGAATCAAACTCCATATATCTTCCAAAGTTTTTCACTTGTTACAAAATTCTGACATGCTCGTGAGAACTATGCCATCATGGTTGTCAATAATCTGCAGCTTGCGGCTGAGGAGAGCAAAAGCTTCAGAGAAAGGAACTTGTTTATTGTATTGGTACCGAATAAGGACATTGTAAGGAAAGCAACAGAGCCGCCTTCGAGGAAGAAGAAAAGGGAAGAGGTGGATGAAGTTTCAGCCGGCATCTAATTGGTGGAATGTAAAAAAAAATGTCTGCAGTTGTCTGAAACTTATATCATCATCTGGTAAGGATGGGAGCTCGGTTAGTTCTGTATATTATCTGACTGGTATGCCATTGTTCCAGAGCTTTATCATTTTTTTTTTTGTGACAGGTCTTTTGCAACCTTCTCTCTTCCATCTCTCTCTCTCTCTCTCGCAACATAAGCTTGCGTTCTGTTCTGTGATGCAACATCGTTTCAACAAGAGCGACAACTACGACAAGACAACGTCATTGGTGCCTTGCCCTTTCTGAAAGTCAATCTTAAAGTAAAGTAGCAACCTTTTGATCTTCCATATCTTCTTCTTCTTCTTTATTTGAACCGTTTAATTGTATCGCACGTCTCATGTAAGGAATGTGGAATTGGTGAGGATGAGAATTCTTGTCTATTTAGACCTGACCATTTCGGATTTCGGTTTTTCTAGTTAAATTTGGATTCATTATTTCGATTTTTATTGATAAAATAGTTATTTATAAAAATATTTATTTTAAAAAAATTGATTTTTTATTATTTTTAATAGGTTAGAATTATTGTTTATTTTGGAAAAAACTTATAAAATACTTGAATTTACAAAATGTGATAAAAAAAATTATATGAATTTAAAATTTGATAAATAAATACAAAAATATTGAAATGTACCCAAAACAATATCTCAACTATTTTGACTCGATGCTTTTATTCAAATTGTTTGGAATTATTTTGTATATGAATTTTAATAGGATTTAACAGTTTTTATTTGAAAACAAATTTATATTTAAATATTAACGATGTCATCGATGTGTTGATGTGTAGAAAATTGTTTTCAATTTCAAAAGTTGAAGTAATTTTTGATATATTTTTATATTTGATATATTTATTTATCAAATTAAAATTGATATATTTTATATATATATATATA